GGCTTTATCTTATTACCCAAATTCTATTTTTCTGCCTGAAAATTGTTAATGGGCTGCACCAGTGACCCTTGTGGGGCAGAAGTCTGGTTAAAAATGGCCCAGATACTTCAAGGGGGTGTTTGTGAGGCTGTGTAGTGAGCTGTGGGGAGGGCTGCAGCCGGCGCCTCTGTCTTCCCAGAGATGCTCTGTGGAAGCAAAGTCGTCTTACGGGGCTTTGGATTCGGACCTCAGTTTTCTCAGAGGAGAGGGTGGCGAGGGCAGGTCCCCGGGAGCAGATCTGCCTCTTGTTTGCTCTGCTGCCAGGATCCTGGTAGGAGAATGAAGTGAATGGAGATTGCAGCCACACACCGGTATTAATATTTTCTGTGTCTGATGTGTCCTGTTGCTGCTTCTGCTCTGTTCTGCCATGAGATCTTGGCTTTGTGTCTCCCAGCCCTCCAGCTGGGTTGAAAATGAAGGTCACTCTTCCTCGTTCCCTTGCCCTCCAGCTTGCCCCTTTGGGATGGGTTCTCTGCAGTCTCCCCATGGGCCTGGTCTTCTGCCTAAAGCAGGGATTTGTCCAGAGAGGCATCAAAGTTTACTCAGTCGTGTGTGTGTGTGTGTGGTCACTCAGTCCTGTCAGATTCTGCCACCCCATGGACTATAGCCCTCTAGGCTCCTCTGTCCATGGAATTTTTCAAGTAAGAATTCTGGAGTGGGGTGCCATTTTCTCCTCCAGGGGATCGTCCCTACCTAGGGATTGAACCCACCATGTCTCCTGTGTCTCCTGCATTGGGAGGTGGATTCCCGACCACTAGCACCACCGGGGAACACACTCAGTCCTTTGCTTGTCTTATCCTTCCTGGCGAGGGTTTTTTGGCTCCCTCTTCTGTTGTCACCTTTCCAGTTTAGGATACATCCCCTCCTTCACTGTCGTTTTGCTAATCTCAGGACTAGAAAGAAAACCAGTAGGAAAATCAGAAAATGGCATTAACCTGTATAGAAATGCCCTTGGTTTTCAGGGAGTTGAGGGTTTGACAGAAACCATGGATACTCGCATGCAATGGAAGTGACCAAATGTCCTAATTTTATTGGATTAATTCTAACTTCCTTCTGCCCTTGATCCCCTCTGCCCTGAAACTTTATTCTGAGACTCTAGGTAGCTCTCTTGAGCTTTCTTGGCTTCTAGTGGGGATAATGAGATCTTACCTGAAGTCAGGGGCAGGACCATGGTCTCTGAAGGCCCCTCAGTACTGAGATGTACAATTCTATGAATACTCCTTTAAATTCCCAGACACAAAGTCACAATCCAACAGAATTTCAGTATTCTCACTCTTCACCGAAGTGTTCTAAGAAATGCCAAAGAAATGAGATGGTATGTAGGTCAGAATACAGATGTCTAAAATAAGAAGGACTGAGAAATTGTATATGCAGATTTCTGACTATCAGTGAATGGGCAAAAAATTCTAATTATGAAATGAAATTATACCAAATCTTCTGTAAGGCAATCATAAAGGCCCTAAAAATGTAGCCTGATTCAGCCAAGGCACAGACAGGAGGCATTTAGAGTCAAACACAACTGAATGACTTGCTGGCATAACCAGCCTGGAAGCCATTTGGGGTTCTTTTTGCTAATGTATAATTGAAGTGAAAGAGGAGGAAGCCAAAGCCAGGGAGAAATATGAGACTCAGGATAGAATGGCTGAGGCTGCATCTTGGACCCAAGGTGAACTTTCAGAGTTTGATGGCAGTCTCTCTGGAGCTGACAGACTGACAGCTTGAACTGATGGTGGCTCTTTGCTTCTAAAGGCAGAGAGGACTGAGAGAGCAAGACACACCACTTGGGCCAGGAGAGGATGCAGGTAGAGAGGACATCTCAACTTTTATTATTCATGAAGGCTGGATGGGCATGAGATCATAGACTTTACTCTCCTGGGCAGAATTCACAGGAAGTTAAACAAAGGGTCTTAATAGTCCATTGGATGATTTTGCTAAATAAAATTTGTTGTTGTTCAGTTGCTAAGTTTTCTCCAACTCTTTACGAGCCCCTGGACTGGAGCACACCAGGTGTACCTGTCCTTCACCGGCTCCTGGAGTTAGCTCAAACTCATGTCTCTTGAGTTGGTGATACCATCCAACCACCTCATCCTCTGTTGCTCCCTTCTCCTCCTGCCTTCAGTCTTTCCCAGCATCAGGCTCTTTTCCACTGAGTCAGCTCTTTGCCTCAGTTAGCTGGAGTGTTGGAGCTTCAGCTTCAGCATCAGTCCTTTCAATGAATATTCAGGGTTAATTTCCTTTAGGATTTACTGGTTTGATCTCCTTGCAGTCCAAGGGACTCTCAAGAGCCATTCTCTTCTCCAGGGAATCTTCCCAACTCAGGGATTGAACCTGAGTCTCCTGCATTGCAGGCAGATTCTTTATTGTCTGAGCACCAGGGAAGCCCAAATAGAGGTTGGGCATTAGACTGAGAGTCCTGCCCAATTCACTATTGATCAGCTAGCCTTCCTGACCTTTGGGGATTCCATTATCTCCTCTGAAGGATTTGGCTGTACTTACTTTTTAAAGTGAGATTACCTGCAATATGTGGCTAGAAATGGTTTTGCATGCATCTTGATGACAAAATGAAATGTATCTCTGTCTCTCTGTGTAAATCTACCTGTATTAGGTCCTATAAAGCACTTGGTTGTTGCTTTACGAGAAAATATGGGAGTTTCTGAGTTTTTCTTGTTATGAACACTTGCTTCATTTATGATCAATTTATTCTCCACACCATCACTTAAATGTTATTCTATATAGACAAAAACTTCATTTCAATTACAATTTTTACTGAAAGTTAAATTTCAGGGCAATATCTCTGAAGAAAAATGTAACTACGATTAGACTTCTAAATTAAATTTAAAATTCACCTTCTCATGTTACTATATATGTGAAAAACTCAACAAAGATGTCAAGGTGATTAAGGCCTGTGTTTCAGATGGGTAAATTTACACTCCTCTGCTTAGAAGATGGTAGTTTCTTTTGATATTGGATCCTTTAAATTGTGAAAAAAAAGCTATCATTTTATTAGAAATATAAAGGAATATATAAAATGGTAGCAGGCATTGATTTAATTGTCATTATCCCTTTAGTCTTCTTCAGTCTAGAAGAATTCTTCAGTCTCTCACATTATGACCTTGAAACTTTTGAAGACTTTATCAAGAATTTTATATATCTTCAATTTGCTTTTCTCTGCTATTTCTTTGTGATAGTTTCAGGCAAATACATCACCTGAAACTATCACAAAGAAATAGCAGAGAAAAGCAAATTGAAGATATATAAAATTCTTCATTCTATTGGATGTTCCATGATTTCAGTTTTTCCTTTTACTAATGATGTTTATGTTCATTACTTGATTAAGGTGATGTCTGCTATGCAGTTGAGAAGTTGTTTCTTTAGCAAAAATCCACTTGGTTCTCTTACAATACCATCCTCCAATGCTATTTTAGTTTAGTGCACTGCACCTTATATGGTGGCAATGACATATCTAAGGTTGCTGACCTAGCTGTAATTGTATTTACACAGTTTTGAGGTCCTGTTAGCTTTCTTTATTTGATTATTTAGAAAACTTTTCTCTCCTTTTTTTCTTGGTATACAGTATCACTTCTCTCTAGCTTATATGTAGGAACATTGTACATTGGTTTCCAAAATCTCACTTTGAACATACACATTGATGAACAGAAAGTATATTTCTTCAAGTTTACACAACCCATTATAGGGAAGACTAATTAGAAAAATCCTTTTAGTCTTTATAAAAACAAAATAGAATTTATGTATTAGAACTATCTGTCTAAAATAGGTTGCTGGGGAATCATATATAAAATGCAATTTTAATTCTCAAAAGAGATGAAGAAGTTGATGGGAGAGCAGGAAGAAAGTGGGATGGCCAGAGTATTCAAGGGGGGAAAGCTGTGTCCACATCTGCCATCATGAGTGGAGGCTGAGCCTGGGTCTGGATGCTACGGGTATGAGTGCTGGGTGGTGACCACCATCTCCAGTCCCTCCAACAGGTATAACCGGGGGGTGAGAGTACTCAGATCCAGAGGTTATGAAGTAGGAAGAGCAGATAGAAGGTAGCAAACTTGGGAACTCCTGCCTGTGCTCTATCCTTAATACCTATGTGATGCTGTCTGTTTTCTTTTCTTGACCTCAGTTTTCATGCTGTGGAGAAAAAAGGGACGATTTCAGGACTGGGAAATTCTGAGATGAGAAATAAGGCACAAGAGTAACACAAAGGGAGCAAAACAGAAAGAGATGATCAAGAAAACTTTTGCCTGCTTTGGGCTCAGTCTTTAAGCCATGGACACACATTCCTGCGTCCCACGCGTTCACAAAGATCTGAGATTCCAGCCATAGCAATGCTTTGTCTGCCTTCCTTCCTGCCCTCAACCCAAAGAGCTGTCCATCTGTTCTCTCATTCTTGTTAAACTTGCTGTTTTCCTGAAACTCTCAGAGGTTAACGTTTCAGTCTATGCTTCTGTTCCTGCTCAGAATGTGCTTAGAAGGAGAATCATTGTCAGAGAAGCAATGAGGAGACAGAAAAGGAGCATGGGGTCTAAGAAGTAGGAAAAGGGAGTTAAAAAGGAGAATTATTGCCATAGAAACCTTTTTCATTCCTGCCTGGCTTCACTGAGGCCTGAGGAGCTGGCACTTTGCTGTGGAGACACTTCTGATTCAAGAAGATTTATAGACGTAGCTCATGAGGCCCTTATGCTTTAAAAACTCAGAGCTGGGTGAAAAGAAATTACAGAACTATTAGAAAACATTTTAGTCTTGTTAAAATGTGTTTTTTTTTCTTTTAAAGGATCAAGTCTGACATAGCTTTCTCACTGAGGTACTATAAGAGACAGTCTGCGGCGCAGAGCAGTTTGGTGGTTCGTGGGAAGGGGTCCTTCCCCTGTCTCAGCTCCTGCGGCTCTTTGGGCAGCAGCGGCTGCGCGGTGGTCGGAGAAGCGGCCTATAACTTCAGCATTAGGGAAAGGAAAATGGCCCGTACCAAGCAGACTGCTCGTAAGTCACCGGGTGGGCAAGTGCCCCGCAAGCAGCGGCGGGGTGAAAAAACCTCATCGCTACAGGCCCGGGACTGTTGCCCTTCGAGAAATCCGTTGTTACCAAAAATCCCCCGAGCTTCTGATCTGGAAACTGCCTTTCCAGAGGTTGGTGAGGGAGATCGCCCAGGATTTCAAAACCGACTTGAGGTTCCAGAGTGCCGCCATCGGCGCGCTGCAGGAGGCTAGCGAAGCTTACCTGGTGGGTTTATTTGAAGATACTAATCCGTGTGCCACCCACGCTAAGAGAGTCACCGTCATGCCCGAAGACATCCAGTTGGCTCGCCGGGTGCGGGGAGAGAGAGCTTAAGTGAAGGCAGTTTTTATGGTGTTTTGTAGTAAATTCTGTAAAATACTTCGGTTTAATTTGTGACTTTTTTTGGTAAGAAATTGTTTATAATATGTTGCATTTGTACTTAAGTCATTCCATCTTTCACTCAGGATGAATGCGAAGAGTGACTGTTCACAGACCTCAGTGATGTGAGCACTGTTGCTCAGGAGTGACAAGTTGCTAATATGCAGAAGGGATGGGTGATATTTCTTGCTTCTCATGATGCATGTTTCTGTATGTTAATGACTTGTTGGGTAGCTATTAAGGTACTAGAATTGATAAATGTGTACAGGGTCCTTTTGCAATAAAACTGGTTATGACTTGATCCAAGTGTTTAACAATTGGGGCTGTTAAGTCTGACTGTACATCACTGTGATAGAATGTGGGCTTTTTCAAGGGTGAAGATACAAGTCTTAACCACAGTGTAACTTACAGTTTCCTTAAAAAAAAAAGTAAACCTGGCAGCTATAGAATACACTATGTGCATTTATAATAGCTATTTTATATATTGTAGTGTCAACATTTTTAAATTAAATGTTTTACATTGAAAAAAAAAAGACAGTCTGCACAGTTGGAGGTGATGAGTTTTTTTTTTTTTTTCTGTGAAACAAACTTTATTCTCAAGTGTGATTTTTCCCAGAGGTACAAGATACAGGTGCTTAGAAAGATGGACTTTCCTTTAAGGACTTCCCTGGTACAAGATACAGGTGCTTAAAAAAAAAATGGACTTTGCTTTAGGGTCTTCCCTGGTGGTCCACTGGTTAAGAATCTGCCTTCTAGTGCAGGGAATGCAGGTTTGATCCCTGGTCGGGGAACTAAGATCCCACATGCCAGAGTAACTAAGCCTACACACCACAACTACTGAACCTGTGGTGATGGGTTTTAACAGGCTTTTGAAAATTATCACAAGGGGCTTTCAGGTAGAGGAGCATAGAGGAGAAGGAAGACGTGGTTTTGCACTAAAATACATAAATAAGTACAATTAAAAAATTGAGCTGCCTTCTAAGAATGGAAAGACTTAGTCATGGGCATGGGCTTCCCAATGGCATTAGGAACACCATGCGCCTACCTGCCCACAGAACTCTGTTTCAGCGGGTGGGGCAAGGAGAAAATATTTCCTTTAGGCATACTAACACAAAATCAAACCTGTTCTTGCAATGAGCTTCAAATGCCAGTAAGATAATTTGATGACTGCAGTGGCAGAAGGCAGGAAAGCTGTTGGAAAAAGGCTGTCTAAAGAGACTATAATTAGCAGTTTCCCTAATTATCCACATGGTTCACCATGTTCCATGGATGGGCTCTCAGGTTAGTGCAGTTTGGGGCTCAGCTTAGGGCTGGGGGTGAGGGAGGGTTGATATCTTTAATTTCAAAGATTATTAAAGGCTTCCTTCTGTGGCAGGAAACTCAAAGTCTATCTAAAGGAAAAATACAGTATGAACCCCAAATTAGAGCCCAAAGTGAAATATTTCCATTAAGAGTTTAACCAGATAGGTAGAAAGATAAAAAGAAATCTTCCCACATTATGAAATCCAAAGAAAACTACTCTTAACATTAAAATTTTTATTCCTTCTCCTCTTTTTAAAAACATATTTGCAAATTGCACCTAGTTAATCAATTATTAAAAATAAGTTTTGGAAATAATTGTAGATTCACAGGAAGTTGTAAAAAAATTTACAGAGAGTTTCTGTGTATTCTTCACCTAGTTCTCCCTAATGGTAACATCTTATGTAACTGTAGTACAATATCACAGCCAGGAAACAGACATTGGTACAATCCACAGAGCTTATTCCAACTTCACCAGTTCTGTATTCACTCATTCGTATGTATGTATATATAATTCTGTGCTGTTTTTATTGCAGGTGTATATTCATGTAACCACCACAATCAAGATACAGAACTGCTCCATCACCACAAAGCTTCCACATGCCACCTCTTTACAGTCACATGCACCCTAGCAACATACGATTTTAATTTTTGCATTCTTTCACTGTTATGGCCCTAGGAAAATATTACTGAACAAGCAAAAATCCCTGCTCTATTGAGAAAATACAAAAATTTTCACAGTGAATACAGGTATATCTTAGGGATATTGCATGTTCAGTTTCAGACCACCACAATAAAGTGAATCTTGAAATAAAAAATAAGCAACACATGAATTTTTTGGTTTCCCAGTACACATAAAAGTTATGTTTACCTTATACTGTGGTCTATTAAGTGTGCAATAGCATTATGTCTTAAAAAGAGTGTGTGTGTGTGTGTGTGTGTGCATGCCCACATGCTCAATTGTATCCAACTCTTTGAGACACCATAGACTATAGCCCACCAGGCTCCTCTGTCCATGGAATTTTTCAGGCAGGAAAACTGGGGTGGGTTTCCATTTTCTACTCCAGGGGACCTTCCCAACTCCAGGATTGAACCTGCATCTCCTGTACTGGCAGGAGGATTCTTTACCACTGAATCACTTGGGAAGACCAAGAAGAAAGGCTTTCCCACCCTTGATTAAAATATTTTATTGCTTAAAAGATGTTAACCACCATCTGAGTTTTCAGGGACTCAGTCTTTTTGCAGTAGTAACATCAAAGAGCACTGATCACAGATTCCCATAATAAACATCATAATAATGAAAATTTTGAAATATTGCAAAGACTAGTGAAATGTGACACAGAGACACAACATGAGCAACTGCTGTTGGAAAAATGGTGCCAATAGATTTGCTTGATGCAAGGTTGCCACAAAACTTAAATTTATTTAAAAAATGCATATCTGGGAGGCTCAGTAAAATGAAATATGCCTGTAGAAAAAATATTAAGAGGACAGGGAAGCCTGGTGTGCTGCAGTTCATGGGATTGCAAAGAGTCAGACATGACTGAGTGAACAACAGCTGGTAAGAACTACTCACGGGTGTTTTTGTGATTTTAGGAAAGGCATGTCTCTACAAATCTAAGAAGCTATCTTCTGGGTTTCAGGCAGATGGGACAAAAAGACTGAGGAGACTGAGAGTGAGAAATACTAAAGATTTTTTCAGATAATGAAGGCAGATAGAAAAGCAAACCAAATAGCAAACCAAAACCAATTCCACTTAGCTGTTGGTGCTTAAGCTAGGAAATTGACTCTGGTAGGGACAGAAGGCAGGTGTTGAAAAATATCAGAGAGGCAACTGCTGACAGATAGCTTGAAGTACTTTTCCTGATTATCTGTGTGAGTCATCCTTTTATAGGTCAAAGTTATGCTCATGTTGGTGCATTCAGGTCAGGGCAGGACAGTGACCTGAGACTGAAGCTTTGAAGTTCCATGGGTTAATCTTTTTGACATTCTTTGAGGGTCTCCTCCCTGTGGTTATAGTCTGGACACAAGCTTTTTAAAGAAAAATCAAATAGAAAAGGAAATTCTTTGTTTTTTTTCTTTCTTCTCGTATAGCATTTTAACAGAAAACTGGAAAGAAGAAAAAAACCAGTCATTATAGCACCCCTGTTGTTTACCAAGTTTCCACATATCATACTCATCCAGTGTTGATAGTTGAAATTGTGTGCATGCTTAGTCACTCAATCGTGTCTGACTCTTTGCAACCCCATGGACTGTAGCCCACCAGGCTCCTCTGTTCATGGGATTTTTCAGGCAAGAATACGGGAGTGGGGTGCCATTTCCTCCTCCAGGGAAATCTTCTTGACCCAGGGATCTGATCTGCATCTCCCATGCCTCCTGCATTGCAGGCGGATGATTTCCTGCTGAGCCACAGGGGAGGCCAAGCAATAGATGGAAACTTCCGCTAATTAAAGCTGAAAATGCATCTATTAAGGGGTACAAAATAGCTCATAGAGTCTCTGAGAAGCAGGCTTGGAGTTGAGCCATGTCATGCAGAAGTGTCAAAACTCATTCTGCAGAACTGGTCTGGTGAGGACACCACACCAAAGTCTTCCCTGAGCCTTGACGGTGTATTGTGTGTTGCAGATACCCCTAGGGCAGTGTCTTCACTACTGATTCTAGAAACTGGACTTGCTACAGCTTCTAGTGCCAGCCTTTGTTGTTGTTGTTCAGTCCCTAAGGTGTGTCCAACTCTTTGTGACCCCCCATGGACTGCAGCACTCCAGGTTTCCTTGTTCTTCACTGTCTCTTGGAGTTTGCTTAAATTCATTTCCACTGAGTCAGTGATGCCATCCAACCATCTCATTCTCTGTCACCCCCTGCTCCTCCTGCCCTCAATCTTTCAGCGTCAGGGTCTTTTCCAATAAATCAACTGTTCCCATCAGGTGGCCAAAAGTATTGGAGCTTCAGCTTCAGCATTTGTCCTTCCAATGAATATTGAGGGTTGATTTCCTTTAAGATCAATTGGTTTCATCTTGCAATCCAAGGAGCCCTCAAGAGTCTTCTCCAACATCACAGTTTGAAAGCATCAATTCTTTGGCGCTTAGCCTTCTTTATGGTCCATAGAGTTTTGGACCATAGCTTTGACTAGATGGATCTTTATCCGCAAATGATGTCTCTGCTTTTTTAACTTGCTGTCTAGGTTTATCGTAGCTTTTCTTCAAAGGAGTGAGCATCTTTTAATTCTATGGCTGCAGTCACCATCTGCAGTGATTTTGGAGCTTGGAAAATAATGTCTGTGATTTTCATTTTCCTTCCCATTTATTTGCCAGGAAGTGATGGGATTGGATGCCATGATCTTAGTTTTTTGAAAGTTGAGTTTTAAGCCAGCTGCTTCACTCTCCTCTTAACACCTTCATCAAGAGGCTCTTTAGTTCCTCTTCACTTTCTGCCATTAGGGTGGTATCATCTGCATATATAAGGTTGTTGATATTTCTCCTGGTAGTCTTAATTCCAGCTTGTGACTCATCCAGCCTGGCATTTTGTATGATGTACACTGTATGTAAGTTAAACAATCAGGCTGACGATATCTAGCCTTGACATACTCCTTTTCCAATTTGGAACCAGTCCATTGTTCCATATCTGGTTCTGTTGCTTCTTGACCTGCATATAGATTT